ACCATATTTTTGTATCCACATCTGTTGCCATCTCCACGGACAAATGTAAAAACGACTTGATGCCCGTCTTCTATTTCAGATCTCACGTATTTATCGCCAATGAATTTAAATTCCACAATAGGGTTTCTTTTTGTCAACCACAATCTCAAAGTTCATGGTACAACATGGGCAAAATCAACGTTTTCATTCATGATCCGCTCATTCAACTTTGTGCCGAAATAACAATCAAGAGTTTCATTAGAAATAACAATCAAGAGTTTCATTAGAAATAACAATCAAGAGTTTCATTAGAAAAAACTTCATATATGAGTTTTTTCCTCGGATATCTTTTGGACGTTATCCTTTCCAGACTTTCATTAAAAACGTCGTCATCGACTTGAATTTCAATACGAACTTCGGGGTCTTCCCTGCGCACTGAGTACAACTTTCGCTTGATCTCCCTGTACACTCGTTCACAAAAAGCTTGCAAGCGATCGCTAAAGGAATCACTGTTTGGTTGTGACATCGGTTCCAATCGCATTACGGGCAACTTATTTCCATGGCATGGCCTCCATTCGTCAAATTTCTCACTGTACCCTTTGAATGAATTTTAACCATGTTTCTCGCTTTTTCGACCTGTGTTATCTCAACTGGATAAATATTCTTATCCGTAATTTGTATTTTCTTGCATTTCTTAGGCTTAACTTCGGCGAATTCGTCAATAAATCTCTTCGGAGTCTTACACTCCCGCTTTGCCCTGTTGACGGCCATTTTTGAAAATTGGCGCTTTGCATATTTAATTAACTGCGCATGTCAGGTGAGTAATATGGGGGCTTAAGACCAATTTCGGCAAATGTTCAGTTTTATATGGGATAACTTTGATATGCAAAGAGGAAATAAACAAAGTTTTCTCAGTCAATCTGTGTAACCATAACGGCTCACTGTCCCATTTACCAATTTTTTGCACGATTCTGCTTGTACTGTCGGCGCTAACTATTCGGCCAGAAAAGTCAGACATGGTACATTTAAACAAGATCCAAGCGGTATGGAAGTGTTTACTCATTTATTCTACCGTCGTGGTGGCTACTTTAATCTTTACCGCGTGGAAATTTCACGCTGCCAAAAGCCTGAGGAAAGAGAACGCGACACAAGAGTTATTTGTGTATCTTACGCAAACCGAGAGTTGTCTTCGAACGAGTCTCATACTAAATCTGGATTTAGGCAACCGTTCAAAATGTCGCTGTGACGTT